TTTACATCATTGTAGATTCAATTGAGAAATTGATGATTTGTAGATTCAGTTGAGTTGGTGTGTCATTGAAAAATTAATGATTTATTATCATTTTACTTGACAATCTCCTACAAATGGCACCTCATTGTACATTCTGTGGTTAAGTCACCAGATTTCTTTGTATTGAGTATTACCCTAGAACTTGTGGCAATCATTTTTGTGACCTGTTGTGTTGATTCCCATTTCAGAATGCCTGGAAGGAACTCTGGAATATGTCATAGTTGTAGAGCTAAAGATCACTTCTTTGCCGAATGTAAAAAGAAACGTCGATGCACACGATGTCAACATGGCTTTGAGAAATGTTTTGTGGTGGAGAAGGAGAATGAGAACAAAGGAAAATTATTCCTTTGCTGTAGTAACAAATGCGGATTTTGGGAGTGGGTTGTCAAAGAAAAATCAAGCGGTCCATCCGAACATAGTAGTGCAAACTTGGTTAACCATGTAAAGAATGAAATAGTTGAAGAAATGTCCCGTACTTTCCAATCTCGAGTTCGAATAAGTGATAAAGAAGACCTCCAGATTTCGGTGGACGTGAGGCTCCGGGCGGAGAAAGTTAGCTTGGAAGTGAATGCCAAAGGAAAACAGCCGGTGTAATTTCTAGAGTGTTGGAAAGAGTAAAATGACATGAATTTGTACATATATGACTAGTATAGCGCAAGAAGACGTTGTAATGCTATTTCCTGTATGAACATTTTCACCACATTTTGATATTGTACCTCGGCTCATGCCTTTTGGGTTTAAGATGCTAGCTTTTCATTTTGATATTTCGGTTGCTTTTCATTCTATCAACTGTGATACTCCAAATCAACTGTGATACTCCAAGTCAAGAATTAATGTTGTTCTCTATGGAAATTTTTTACTTTGTGATAAGTTATATTGTTATGATTCTAATGGTTTTTTAGAATGCAAGTGCAAGTTCCAGCCTTGAATGGAGAAATTGTATCAGTAAGTTGGATGGGAAAAGAACTTTCCAATTTCATGTTACTGCCACCATTCTAAAAGAGATAGGCCCAAGCTTCTAGTTAACCAAGCAGCATCAGAAAGAAACAGGCAGTAGCCAGATGTAATGCATGAATGGCATGCTGCAAATGAAAGCTACTAAACAGGCAGAAAACACATTCCACTTGTAAAATGTTTAGGGAAAGGGCTCAGATTACTGAATTGAATGATTGATAGATATTGCAAATTGTGGCACTGCCAAGCCTCCATAGCACTGGAGTACCGGCTAACCTGAGTAGCCTACGAGGATGGAAGTCACACTATCCTAACTGAAGGAAAATCTCAGTCGACAGAAGGAACAATTAACTATGTGAAATTGTTTGAACTAGCATAAAAACCTGCGGAAGAGCCTAAGTAATCAGGTGACTGGAATCTCTCCTATCAGCTCAAAATATATAGAAACAAAAATTGAGTTCATATCCATGACAGCTTTGCAGTAGAAGAATAATTATTTTCCATACCAAATGAAGTATTGTCTCAATATTCAAATTCTTGGATTCACAAAAATAGGAAAACAAATAGGGCCAGAAATATGACTGATCTCCAACCACAAAATGAAATGAAAAATAGGCTTTCTTCTCTAGAACTAAAAACGATGTGGCACTCAATTCATAAAACAAACAGATGCGTCCAAGTATACAACGAGTGATGCTCTCTTTGATCTCAACCAATCGGCAACTTTGTTCGTGACTCCCTTACATTTCTTGACCTGAAGATTCACCAAATTTGGACACCCAAAAGGAAATGACTCGAGCCCTGAATCTGTAATTTCATGTAAAACATACAAATTTTATGGAATGTCATACAACATAATTAAGTTTAGTTCAACAAGAAAGAGACATAACAGCCAAGCAAAAGAAGTTCAACATATTTTTACCAGCCCTTGCCACCTCCGTCCGGTAAATTGGGATAGTGAAACGGCATACAATGACCTACATTAAAATACAATGTCCACGTTAAATGAAGCAACCATGAGAAAATGAATTTCCATTTCATATAGAAGGCATAACTTTATACCTTGCGAACTATACACAATGTTTGCACACGATGGAAGGATGAAATTTGCAGATGGTAATTGCTGTGAGATGGAGAACGACGGCAGCATAGAGTTCGACAAGTATGGAATTGGTGTAGGCATGGAACACTGTTCTGCTTGATGTGACTGGACATTGAATCTGCCATCGACCATACTAGTGTTGCTCGTTGTTGGTCTTTTACAGGTGCTTGACTTTGAATTGGCCTGCATGTACATCAAAGTTACTATTAAATTTATTTCGAAAAAAATGATTAGCCCGGAATCAAAGAAGCGAACATACCTTTGCTTTCTTTGATGCAGTCTCCAATGGGCTTTTTGTTCTAAGTTTCTTTGGCGCTCCCTTTCGTCGTGTCAACTTGGGATCTAATACGCTAAGACTTGTACTATTCGATACATAAGTACATTGATCCGGGAGCTGTATAGTGTTTTGCTCCATGAAATTACTTCCAATACTCGATTTTGTTGTCGTAAG